TCTTATGCCTGTCTTTTGTCTGACTGGAAACCACAGGTGTGGGTTCAATTCCAGATCTGAAGGGCAGTTAGGGGCCATAGTCTCAGTGGTTCTACCAGGCTCTATCGGACCAGCAAACCTGATCCCCTCCCCCCCCCTTGTTTTTCTTCAAATGATTCTGAGTTTTGTTCCACATTGTTCTACCTCTCTATCAAGGACCTCATACATAGATCCCCTTCCAAGTGATTCCAGCAATTTTTTAATCTCATTTATTTCTTCTATTACCCAGTTGTTTTCAAGGAGGGTGTTATTCAGTTTCTATGTGTTTGCTCTTTTTCCATTCATCTTCCTACTGTTAATTTCTAATTTTACACCATTGTGATCTGAGAAGAAGCTTTGCAGTATTTCAATGTTTTTAAATTTATTGAAGCTTGCTTTGTGGCCTAACATATAGTCTGTCCTGGAGAATGTTCCATGTGCACTGGAAAAGAATGCATATTGTGATGCTGTTGGGCGAAATGCTCTGTAGTTGTCTACAAGGTCAATTTGGTGGATTGTATTGTTTAGTTCTTCTGTGTCTTTGTTGAGTTTCTTTCCAGTTGTTCTGTGATTGAAAGTGGTGTATTAAAGTCTCCTACTATGATTGTGGAGTCATCTATTTGTGTTTTCAGTTCTGTTAAAGTCTGTTTTATGTATTTTGGGGCTCTTTCATTGGGTTCATAGATATTATTGTTATGTCCTCTTGCTCAATTGATCCTTTAATCATTATATAATGTCCTTTCTTGTCTCTTATGGTGGTTTTTGTCTTAAAGTCAATTTGATCAGAAATTCACATTACCACTCCTGCTCTTTTATGGTTGCCATTTGCTTGATATATCTTTTTCCAACCTTTGAATTTTAGACTATTTTTGTCTTTCTCTCTAAGTTGTATCTCTTGTAGACAGCATATTGATGGGTTATGTTTTCTAATCCAGTCTGCAACTCTCAATCTCTTGAGTGGTGTATTTAATCCATTGACATTCATTGTAATTGTTGACAAGTATGAATTTGTTGCTGTCATTTTGTTATGTGCTTTTTCATGGTGTTGCTGATTTCTTTGTTCTATATAGTTTTCTGTGCTAAGTTCATTTTGTTTATGAACCATTTTATCACTTCTTTCATTGCTATTTTACTATTTGCTAAATATTTGTGTTTGTCCTCTTTTTTATTGTGATGTGAAAGTTTATCATTTTTCTTTGAGGTTACCCTGTGGTTTATAATTTTCTTCCCAAGTTTAGAACAGTCCATTCTATTTTACAATTGTCTTTACTTCTTCACCATTTAGATGTTCTGTAAATACACATTTTTCCTCCCTCTTTTTGGTTTGTTGTTGCTGCTGTTGTTATGTGCTGTCGAGTCGGCCCCAACTCATAGCGACCCCTCCTTGGGTTTCTGAGGCAGTATCACTACGGAAGTAGGATTGCCCAACCTTCCTTCCGAGGAATGGCTGGTGGGTTTGAACCACCAGCCTTCTGGTTAGCAGTCAAGTGCTTTAGCCACTATGCTACCAGAGCTTGGTTTGTAGTTCTCCTCATTTGCCAATTGATGTCTTTGGCACCCTGTTTACAATCTTGTAGGTTTATTTACTTTGGATACTTCTATAACTGGATTGGTTTCTGGGTTATGTCATCATGTGTGTTAATGGTCAATTGTTGTTCATGGAAGGTACCTAAATAGAATTCTTTTGAATTCTTTATCTGGGAGTTCCAATGCTGTGTCTTCCTCAGGGATTTGTTTTGGGTCTCTATCCTGGTCCCTTGTTTCTCCTGCTTTATCTTGCTTCTTTGTGTGGACTATGATGATCTGTTGTCTCCAAGACATTGTGACTTTTTTGTGTTTATATTTAATTGGTGATTGTATGTTCACTGACTTACCCATGATTTTTGTTTTCTTTGGATGGTATCTACATAAGCAGGGTACTGTGCTGTGCTCCTCTATTTGTTAGTTGGCAGCACTTATACACTCACCACCTGTCTCCTTTCCTATTGTCATTCTCCTGTATGTCCCTGCCATCCTTGGCAAACAGAGTCTATTCTTAGGTCCCTGGAATCTGAATGAAAATGCTGTCACTTTCAATATCCAAAATGGCCACCACTTGTATGCAATCAAAATGGCTGTGCCCTCCAGAGAGCTGAAAGTCAACAGCTCAGGTTGTCTCCCTCCTTGCTGTTTCCCTTCCTAGTCATAGGCCACCAGCACAGTTGTCCCTGCAGCCCTTGGTGACCAAGGCTAATCTTTAGGTCAATTCTCAGGTCCCAACACCACTTGGAAATATTCAGGTTGTTGGTCTCATCAGAGTAGCTGATAGTTTGCAGCTCCATCCCTCTCTGTACTCACAGTTTTCATTCAGGTTTTCCACTAGTTGGTGCCTAATACACTTCTGTATATTCCTTTTAAAGCTCAGGGCTCTAGGATTATCTTTTGTATCTCTGTCAATTGGTCTCTCTTTTCTTTGTTGAGGAGGGTCTGTGTAGCTTGTCTACCTATTTCACCATCTTACCAGAAGTCTGTTTTTAGCTTCTCTTAATAAAAATTACTAGATGATAGAATTTAAAAACGTATGACATGTTATTGCTTAATGTGCTAGTAATCACTGAAAAGCAAAGATGCTTTGTAACACACATATAAAAAATGCAACTATCAATGCAGCAATATGGATGAATCTTGAAATAATTATGCTGAATGGCAGAAGCCAGACAAAGAAAGGACACATACTCTATGATTCCATTTATATAAAATCCTAGAAATGAAAATTAATCTGTAGCAACAGAAAGGAATCCAGTGCTTAGTGATGGAGGAAGGTGCGGGTTTGGGCAGGATAGAGGGATTTGGAGGAAACTTTTGTGATCAATATATACAGACATACCTCAGAGATATTGTGGTTTTGGTTTCAGACCACCTCAATAAAGCTAACATTGCAATAAAATGAGTCATACTAATTTTTTAGTTTCACAGTGCATACAAAAGTTATATTTATACTATACCATAGTATATTAAGTAAGCATTATGAAAAAATAGTATTATGAAAAAGTTTGAAATATTGTGCGAATTACCAAAATGTGACACAGAGACACATAGTGGGAACATGTTGTTGGGAAAATGGTGCCAAAAGACTTTCTCAATGCAGGGTGGCCACAAACCTTCAATTGTAAATAAACAATCTGCAAAGTGCAATAAAGCAAAATGCAATAAAACAAGGCATGCCTGTGTATATATGTGCATACACACACACAAACATGCATACACACACATATATGCATACACACACATATCATTAACCTATAAAATCCTCAAGGTCAGACATCATACCTTACACTTTTCTTGTATCCATCTGCAATGTCTAGCATGGTGACCAACACAGAAAATTTTAACAAATACTTTTTGATTAACCAAGTGACTGTCACACTCCTTAACAAATTGGAGGTGTAGGGAGGCAGAGATTCAAGACAGAAACGGAAGTATGATTTTTCTGTATTTTTATTCTTTTTTTATCTGGAACATAGCACAGAGTACATGGTGTAGGGGTGGATAGAGCACAAACCCATCCCAAAGCACCAACAGTATCTTTTGTGCTACAAAATCTAATGTATACATACAGATTTGTCTACCCCAAAGTTAAATTAGAGAGCTATGGGTTGAAGGTCAGTGAGGACATACCAAGATGAAGGGACTGAAATACTGAAGTTTGGCTTCATTTTAATCCTTTGTCCTCTTAATTTTGACCAATAAAGTGATACTGACCAGAAAAGGAAGGAGAGACTCAAGAAGGACTTGATAAATAGTAATGTCCTTTAACAAATTGCTAAAATGAGTAGGATGTTCTAGTTGTGACTATAATCACATTTTCACTCCACATTCCCCTGAAAGGGTGGCAGCAGAATCTTGAGTTGCTGGAAAGCTGAACAAAATTTAAAGTGATGGAAATAGAATTTCCATGAAAACATGGCAGAACTGCCTCTCAGGGGAAAGAAAAGGTCTAATAATATTACTTATAGTGGTGGGAAAAGTCAATTATCTTTGATTTATTCCACAGGAACTTTCTGTTGTTCACTGAAAAATGTCTCTTGTAGGTATGTATATTGTCCTGGCTTTTATTTCTGTAGAGAATGTGCATATAGCTGATGACAAAGAACATCCAAAAACAGTGCATGAATACTCGGGACACCAAGCCAAACCAGCGCATCACTCTAACCACCTGCACCCTGGAGTTACTGTTGGTGAAGACTTGTATTATAATGTTTACAGCTTCATAGAAAAGGATCCAGATGATGTAGATCATTATGCCCCTGAACATCTGGGCATACACTGAATACAGGAGGAAGAAGCTGATGACAATGGTGATGGTAGACATGATGATGACAATTCTGAAACCCCAGCACACGACATACTGACTTATAATTTGTTCCATGTCCTGCATCCGTTGTTGGGTCTCAGCACAAGTGTCACTTTGTAAGTGCTTTCCTTCAAAGATGAGGTACATGTCAGTGGCAATGATGGTAAAGACCCCTGACAACACAGTGCCCATTTTGGCGGTCATCCCACACCAATACTGCTCTCTCATGTTGAAATCTCCTGTGAAGACATACAATATGAGAGGGTGTTCTGTTTAAAATTGATTGGGAGAGGGTGGGGAGGAGGGAGGAAGCAGTCTGGGGCAGGTGGCAATGAAAAGATAAATTAGAGCAGTCGTTCTCAACTCTGGCTTCATATGAGAAACACTGAATGTACCCTTGTCCAGGCCCCATCCCAGGCTAATTAGAACATTCTTTGGGTGGGACCCAAGCACCATTTTTTTTTTCAAAACTTCCTAGTGATTTTAATACGTAGGTGTGTTGAAAAACACTGAGTTTGAAAGTTGTTTAAATTCTGCTCTTATCTCTCCTATCATTGTCTTGGGCAAACAGTGCTGCCCTTTAATGGTGGAAAATGACTGCAATTGCCCAGACCTTGAATGCACATGTCTCAGAAGAAAAATCAGAGCAGCACAATAGTCTGCTGGGGTGAGGAGCTGATGAAACCTTAGGAAGTTAGAAAAAAAAACTTAAGTTAGAGGAGAAAAACCAACCAACCAACCAACAACAGGGCTGAGCCTGGGGGCTCAGGACCATAGCCTTGGGGAACATCAAGGTCAACTGGAACTATATAGACCACAAAGAAAATGTTCTACATCCTACATTAGTGAGTAGCAAGTGGGGTCTAAAAGGCTTGTGAGTGACCATCTAAAGTACAGCTATTGGTCTCTGTCTGGAGAAAAGAAGAGTGAAGAAAATCAAAGACACATGGCAACAATTAGTTCAAAGGACTAATGGACCATGCAAACTTCAGCCACCATGACCCTTAGACCAGAATAACTAGATGGTGCCTTGCTACCACTACCAAACATTCTGAAATGGATCACATTAGAAGGTCTTGAATAAGAGAAAAATGTGGAACAAAATTCAAAGTCATAAAAAAAGATCAGGCTCACTAGTTGGATAGAGACTGGTGGAACCCCCAAGACTATGGCCATCATCACCCTTGAAGCCTGGAACTAAACTCATTCCTATGGCTCCACTTTCAGCCAAATAACAGACAGATCTATAAGGTGAACAATAATACCAGGGAGGTATGTACTTCTTAGAAAAATCAGCCAAACAAGATCAAAAGGGTAGTATTTGCTCAAGGACAAAGTTCAGAAAACAAGAAGGGCTAGGAAAGAAGGAAGGAAGGAAACAGAAACACAGGGAGGAAATGGGATGTGTGGTATTACACTGTGGGGATTACAACAAATGGCATGAAACAAAATGTGTATAAATTGTTGAATGGAAAATTGATTTGCTCTGTAAACCATCACCCAGATCACAATAAAAAGCTTTTTAAAAAAAAAAAAACGGGAGAGGGGGGGCGGCGAGAAAACAAATAAAACCAAAAGACTAAGGCTCTTGCTATCAAGTTGATTCTGACTCATGACAACCACATGAGTCTCAAAGAATTGTGCCCCATATTTTGATGATTGTAATATTATGGAAGTGGATCATCAGGCCTTTCTTCTGCAGTGCTGTTGGTGAACTTGAATCATCAACCTTTCAGTCAGTAGCTGAGCAGAAACCATTTGCACACCCAGGGACCAGAATACAGTAAAAACTAGCTGAGCACACAAGGAACAAGGCACTGTTAAGTGAGAGCCAGCAGAAACAACTGATAACAGAAATAGAACTGCAAAACATCAGGTTATAAATTAATTACGATTGTATTTACATAAATACAGATAAGTTTGAAAATATATGCAGAAACAGAAAACCACCAAAAAATAACCTAAAAGATTTGAAAGAGAACTGGACAGAATTTCTAGAGGTGAAGATTTCAATACATGAAATTAAAAATTCAGTTGACATGTTTGATAGTTATTGTTGTTGTTATGTGCTGTCGAGTCGGACCCGACTCATAACGACCCCTCCTTGGGTTTCCGAGGCAGTATCACTATGGAAGTAGACTGCCCCATCTTCCTTCCTGTTTGATAGTAGATGTGTGAAAAGAGAATTAGTTAACCAGAAGATAAATTAATCCAGAATGTAGCAAAGAGAGACAAAAAGAAGAAAAATAAGGACAGGAAGTTAAGAGACGTGAAGGATATAATAATGTCTGACATTTAATCAAAGAGAAAGTGAGACTATGTAAAGACATACTTGAAGAGATAACAGCTGTATATTTGCACAGCTGAAGAAAGATATCAACCCACAGATTCAAAAAATTTGACTGATCATTAGTAGGGTAAATAAGAAGAAATCTACATTTAGACACATGGTAGTAAAATGCTAAATATCAAATATTAGAAGAAAATCTCAAAATCATCCAAGGGAAAAAGATAGATTTTAGACTTATGAAGAAAACTAAAATCCAGTGGATTATATTTTCAATGTGCTAAAAGAAAATAACTGCCAACCCAGGACTCTATTCCAGCTAAAACATCTTTCAAAATTGAGAACATACATTATGATAAACTTTTATAAAATTAAAAACAACTAAAATTAAATAATATATTACTTGGCCATACATACCTATGGAGATAAAACTTTATTTAAAATTTAAGAGATAATAAACACAAAATTTGGGCTAGTGGTTACCTCTGAAGTGCAAGGATCAGAGATAGAGAAAAGTCATATAGGCAAATGTTGAGTTATTGTTAATATGCTAATTCTTGAGTTGAATAAGGATTCATAAGTGTTAAAAAATAAATTGGCAAATAGAAGTAGGCCATGCATGTATTAATGATGACTACTTTTTATGATCTAAAAAGGAGCTCTGGTGGTATAGCAGTTAAGGCATTTGGCTGCTAACCAAAAGCTTGGTGGTTTGAACCCACTAGCCATTCCATGGAAGAAAGATGACATCATCTGCTTCCATAAAGATTTACAGCCATGGAAGCCCAATAGGGGTTGTTACAAGTTGGAATCGACTCAAAAGCAGTGGTTTTTTTTTTTTTTTTTTTAATTAATGATCTAGGATTATGAGTGATCCAATTCAGTACATTTGAATTCTCTAAGGAAAACACAGTGGAAAGAAGACATCTAGTTTCATTCCAAAAGTCTCGATGGCATAATTGGCAGACAACAGACAACAATCTTCTTTCTATTCCCTGTAATCTCACAAAACATTTGGGTTCCCATTGGTCTATCTTTGGCAAATACTGTTGTCTCCTAACACTCATTTTCCCCTTCTTCCTTTTTGTAATATGTCCTTCTAACTTTTAGATGGACACAATACATTTCCCAGCTATCAACTACATTTCCCAGTCTATTTTGCAGCTTTGAGTGGCCATGTGACTTAGTTTTGAACAATGGATGTAAGTAGAAATGATGTGTACCACTTTACATTCTTACAGATAAAAGGATTAGAAGTGCTTTCACTTGTCCTTTTCTCCATTCCCCACTACTGGCCATGATCAGAACTGATTTTTGACCCAGACTTGGAAATTCTTGCTGAATGTGGCAGAACACCCTATCTACCATTGATCACTGTTATCTGAGAGACAAATAAACTGCTATCATAAATAAGCCACTGTCTTTTGGGGTTTCTTTCTTTTTTAAAGAAATAACTTGGCTGCTTATGTACAACCAAATGCTTCACGGGGTTTGGTTTCTTGGTTTGGGATTTAAGGGTCATGGTTTTATGTCCCATGGTGTAATGTCCCATGGTTAACAGGGACATTCCTGTTAACTGGCCTACTATTGTGTTTAGTGTTTCTGTTTGATCTCATAGATCGTTGCATAGTGCCTGGGGTCTTAAAAGCTTGCAAGCAGCAATCCAAGTTTCCATAATTAGGTTGTATTCACCTGGAGCAATAGAGGAAGACAAGTCAGGAACAGGAAGAAGAAATGGAATGTGTGGCTAATTGCTTCCTGAACATTGAACAAATGCTTCCTTTGCCATGAGACCAGAAGCATTGATTGGTGCCCAGCTACCATTATTGAACGTTTTGATCAAAGTTTTGATAAGAAGAATCCTGATCAAAAGGGAGAAAATTCAGAACAGAATTTCAAATTCTCACGGAATCCAGATTTTCTGGAGCCATTGAGACTGGATGAACCTCTAAAATTTGTCTGAGTTCTCAAGCACTGCTGTAATAAAAATACTACAAGTGTATTCTCCTACAATTTAGGAAGCAAAATGCCTGAGTTCAAAGTGCCAACTCTAAAGGCTGGGTGGAGGTCCCTTGACCTTGGGCTTCAGCTCTGCCTGTTGTTCCAGGCCCACTGGAGCAAGCAGAAGGCCTCCTCTGATTCACTCAGCTGCTGGCTGCTGAGGCTGATGAATCCAAGACCAGTAGGTAAAATGGCAGATTGTTGGCTCAAAGGCTGGGCAGGCAACAATCTCAAGATCAGCAGGCAGCAAACACACTGGTTCAAGTCCAGGAATTGGAGATGAAGACTGAACCAAAAGCATGTCCAGTCTTATCATGGGGAATAATTACATCCAGCTGCCCAGCTAAGTTGACATAGCACATTAACTCCCACACTATTGCCTTGAGATAATCTTTAAACTAAAAACAGTCCCTGATGTCTTCTTTAAACCAAACAGTGTTGTTGTTGTTAGGTGGCGTTGAGTTGTCTCCAACTTATAGCGGCCCTATGTAGGAGCTCTGGTAGCATAGTGGCTAAGACACTTGCCTGCTAACCAGATGGCTGGCGGTTCAAACCCACCAGCTACTCCTCAGAAGGAAGGTTGGGCAATCCTACTTCTGTAGTGATACTGCCTCGGAAACCCAAGGAGGGGTCGCTATGAGTTGGGGCCGACTCGACGGCACATAACAACAACAACAACATGTACAGCAGAACAAAACACTGCCTGGTCCCACGCCAGCTCTGCAATTCTTGCTGTACTTGAGCCCGTCAACACAGCCACTGTGTCAATCCATCTTGTTGAGGGCCTTCCCCTCTTTCATCAGCCCTCCATCTTACCAAGCATGACATCCTTCTACAGGGAATGGTCATTTCTAACAACATGACCAAAGTAGGTGAGACGGAGTCTGGCCATTCTCGCTTCCAAGGAGCATTCTGGCTGCCCTTCCTCCAGGACAGATTT